AAAAAAAGGCAGGCGCGTGCGCCGCGCGGCCCCGAGCGGGGAGCCGGCGGGAGCGGGCCTGGCTCCCCCGCGCCCCCAGCCCTTGCCCGCACTAGCCCCCGGGCCGGCCCTGACGCCCGACCCCGGCGACCTGCCCTCGCCAGCCCCGAAACCACGACGCCTTGCGCTGCCCGGTGCCCCCCGCCCGTGCAAATGGCCCCACATGCAGGCACACACGTGTATGCTTGCACACACATGAACTCAGGGAGCACAGGCGTGCACACACACAGTGAGCCCCCACACGCACTTGCACACACACGTACACATCCTAGTGAGCAGGGTGCAGCCAGGCCTCCCGGGCGCAGCAAGCCCCTGATGTCCCCCGATGCAAGCCGTGCCCGCCCCCCGAGATGCCCCCAGCCCTCACTGCCCCGGCTGGGCTTGCCGTGCCTGCTGCAGGGGCCGGGGACCGAGCGTGGGGGCAAGTGCCCGAAGGTCCCGGGGGGAGCTGGGGACCCGCAGACCAGGGCAGCAGGGGCAGGGTGGGCATGAGCCGGGCCTGCAAGGAGCTGGTCCTGGGTGTGGGTGGAGGGGCCAGGGCAGGGGCGGGTGGCTCCGCGGGGGACAGCAGGGCCGCAGGCTGGAGTCCCCCCACCCAGGACCCCCAGCACCTCTGTCCCGGGCTTGGCCTCAAGGTCCAGGCAGCACCCGGCCCCGGGAGTGCGGCCCCAGGCCCTGCCAGGGGCTACTCGTGGCAGCTGATGGAGGCAGCGCAGCAGGCAGGGCCAGGGCACAGCTCCCTGGGGCAGGGGGGCAGGGGCTGGTTTCGGTGCCCGGGGGCACATGGGCAGGGGCCTTGCTGGTGTCCCGAATACCCGGACCCCCCGGCAGTGATGCCATGGGGCTGCGCCCCAAACCCAAGGAAGAGCAGTGCCCACCCGGACCTGTGCCACTGCCTTGTGCCAGCTGGAGCGGAGTCAGGGTGCTGTCTCCATGGCCTCCGCCCCACACGAAGCAGCTGCTTCTGGGGTGCAGCCTGGCAGCTCGCAGCAGTTCCCGGGAAGGGTGAGGGCTGGTGGATGCAGGGCACAGAAGGTGCCTGGGGCCAAGATCGTGGGGCAGAGCTGCAGCAGCCACGGCTTGTGGGGCACAGAGACGAGCAGCGGGCCGGCGACAGGGGCCCAGCTCACCCAGCCCTGGGGGGAGGGCACCGGCTGGGCGAGCACTTTTGCTGCTCCGTAGCATGGGCAACTGTGCCCTGGGCAGGGGCAGAGCAGGGACCTCCTGCCCCCTGGGCTCCGCAGCCTCGCAAAGGTCCCAGCACCACTTTGCTGGGGACACCACGCCACCCTGGTGCAGGTGGGGACTCCCCATGCACTGCTGGCAGTACGGGGCTTAAGACACACAGAGAAGCCATTCCGAACCCACCCAGCAGAGGGCAGCACCGCCCAGGCTGGGGCCATCATGCCCACAGCAGCCACCGACCTTCCCCTTCACTGCAGTGAGCCCCGGGGGGCTGCAGCCACTCTGGGGCCCCCACACCCCAGCTCTGCCCTGCAGCTGCCGGTGTCCTGCGTGTGCGTGGGCATAGATGTGCGTGCACTTGTGCATGTGCGTGCACACATGTAGAGATTGTGCACATGCATAGATGTGTGTGTGTGCACATGCTCATACATGCATGTGCACTTGTGCATGTTCATAGATGTGTGTGCATGGATGTGCATGTGTGCAGATGCATGTGCCCTTCTGCATTTGCATAATGTGTGTGCATGGGTGTGCACATTTGCAGATGTGCAGTTGGGCACGTGCAGAGATGTGTGCACGTGTGCAAGGATGAAGCAGCTGCAGCCCACACAGGTCAGCATGACACAGGGAGCAATGCCCCCCGGCTGGCGCCTGGGCTGGGGCTGTGGGAGCTGGGGTCCGTGCTCCCGCAGGCCCCGGGGAGGGGCACTGAGGAGCTGCCTGGAAGAGCAGGGCCCAGGGGTGCCAGTCACTTGCAACCGGCAGACAGCTCCTCCCCAGCACAGGCTGCAAACCCTGCTGGGGTCTGGCTGGCACATTCCCACGCTTTGCCTAAACCAGGGCTGGGCTGGACCAGAACCCAGGGCACAGGTCCCGAACCACAGCAGCAGGGACAGCGGGGCCCAGCCCGGCTGGCCCCTGGGCATCCCACCCCCAGGACACTGCCCCCGTGTCCTGCTAGCAGCGGTGGACACAGTCACCCCCAGACCCACGGCCCAGTACAGCCAGGCTAGGGGGTCTCTGTGCCCAATTTACCAGGGCACTCCAGCCCAGGACCCCATGGGAGTGGGCTCCAATGCATCCAGTGGGGCACGCGGATGTGGGGTAGGGCATGCGTGACCGCAGGGGAGTCCTGGAGGACCGGGTGCAGGCTGGGAGCAGCACGAGGGCCAGGATCAAAGGGGTGGGGGCAGCTGTAGACCCCGCCGGCTGTGCCTCCCGACCCACAAAGATGCCCAGGGCCACGGGAAATTCTCCTGCCATCCATGTGGTGTCCTCCTTGTGCACGTAGAGGGCCAGGGGCAGGCCTCATGGCGCGGGGAGGGGGCAGCCTCCATCATGGGAACGGAGGCAGGCCCCCCTGCCCTGATGCACGTGGGCACACGCCAAGCTCACAGCGTCCTGTTTATTCCCCTCGGGGGGCGCGGGTACAGCCACGGACAGCGCGCGGACCAGCGATGTGGCACAGCCCCCTGCCCCGGGGGGGCAGCCGCGGGGTGGCAGGACCGTGTCAGCCTGGCAGGCTCAGACGCCCGCTCCAGGGCCCTGCCAGGAGCACGGCAAGGGACAGAGGCTCTCCTGGGCTCTCCCAGCCCCAGGCGGGCTCTGGGGGCCGCACGGTGCCCCCTGCACCCCAGCTGGCAGTGGGGAAGGGGCAGGGGGGGTGCAGCACTGCTCCGGTGTGGGAACGGCCTGGGACCGTGGGGTGGCCACAACCCACGGTGCAGGGGGCAGTCAGGCACTTCCCAGCAGCGTCCAGGAAGCGGGGGGAAGGAGCTGGGGCGGGGGTCTGGAACTGGGGCAGCCTCCCCTGGCCTGCTCCCGTCACCCCCTGCACACACGCGTGTGCGTCCGCCCATCTCTCCTTGGGCACAGCGTCCTGAACCAAGCGCACACGTGGGGGCGCGGGCAGCCCCGGCGGCTCCGGCTCAGGAGATGGTGGAGAACTCCTTGAGCAGCAGCTCCTGGCTCAGCGTGTTGAAGGCCAGGTTCTTCCGCACGTTGATGCTGATGGACCGGACCTGCCGGGACACAAGAGCCAGGTCATGCCCACGTCCCCCTCCACCCCCGCTCAGACCGGACCCCCTGCCCTGCACCAGGAGCTGCAGGCGCAGCTGCGCTCCCCAGGCACCCGCAGCCTCTCCCTTTGGGACCCGCTGCCCGTCTCCAGCCCGGCTCGAGGGAAGAGACCCGGGGCTGGGCAGGGCGGGGCATGACGGGGCC